AAAGCATGAGCTTACAGGGATTCATCTTCATGAATCCCTTGCAGCTGTGAGAGATACTGCAGTTTTGGAGTGGGTGAGTCAAGCAGAATAACTATACAGATATCTATGTGTGATAAGCAGCTTTTGCACTACAATTTACAAGGCCACTTGACACCAGTCAGGCAGCACTACTTCTGCCTTTCCAGATTTTCCTGCCCACAGGCTTGTGCTTCTGATTCAGAGAAACCTAAGCCAACCCTTATCATGATGCTCCATTGCTGTCTGCTTATGGTTATTACACTCAGGTAGGTCTCTAAGTGCTTTTCTTAGGTAACCCATTTGCTCTCCTGATGTGCCTGTTTGTTGCATAAGAAACGCTTAATTCATTCAACCCACTTAAATGGTGCATAGTGATGAACCGTGCAGTGTTTTCCTTCTTAGGTATGCAGACTAGAAAACATGCTGTAAGATTTCCTTTTTAATTGGCTCATCTAACCTCTGTAAAAAACAAACAAACAAAACAACCACACTCCTGCTGGTAGGACTTTTACAAGTGAAGAACAACCCAACCTGAGTTTGGTGTCCACAGATATGCTTTGCAGATACTGACTAGAGGTCAAGAGATGTGTAAGTAGTCTGTAGGCTGAAATGTGCCTTGAGAATTCAACTTTTAATTATTTTGTCTTAAATATTAGTATGATCCATCTATGTACTTCCGGTAAACAAGGGGTATGTTCAAACTGACTAAGATCCAGTTCATGATTCAAGCCAGATATGAACATAGTGCAGAGAAGGATTTTCCCTCTTTATTGATTGATCTTTCACACATCATAGATTTGAAAGTGACTTTTAAGTGTAACTTGAGGCTAATGAAAGACACTTTACTCAGCAATACCTACAAGGAGTCTAGTAAATTGTCCTTTTGCTTTATTTTAAAAAATCTTAATTTTGAAGGTTGACTGCCTTTTCAGGTAAAGATTTTGAGTGGGGGTTCAAAAACATTCATCACTGATCCAGTTGTCCAGTTGCTTCCACTGAAGGTGGGTGGTAGTAAGGTGCCTTATTGGGTTCATTAAAATGTTGTAAACTTTTGAATCTATAGAGACCACTAGGAAGCTTATGCTGTTGTTAAAAACTTTTAACATAATTTCTGCAGTTTTAATTTTTAAATAAAATAAAACTTTATTTCCTTTAACTGCTCCCTTCTCAGGGACTCTTTTTGTTCGTTGTATGCTCTTGTACAGTTAGCACTCCTTTTGACTGTAAAAACAGATCTTAATGTGTCTCTACTGTCATCACTGATGCAAGACTTCTTACCACACATTTAGCATTGAAGAACTAATGAAGTCTTAACTTCTCCATTGTTTATGCAACTGTGGTGTGTCCTCCTTGCCCTTTGGTTTATGTTTGTGCCTTGCCAACACATTGCATTCATGAGAAAATCATTAATCTATTAACCTTAGCATACTGATTTAATTTACAAGCTATACTTAGAACTGGTTCACTACAGCTGCATGAGTAAAAACGAGTTGAACAAATTCCTGAAAACTTAATGTTAAAAATAAGTTAATTGTTCAGTTTGCTCTCTGGCCTGTGTTATGATATCAGATGCATAACACTAAGGCCTCTCTGGATTAAAAAAAAAAAAAAAAAAAAAAGTTATTACATATTTTAATATTTGCACTAAATGTGTAATGCCCAGGCAGAACTGGCATCTCTTATCCAAAAGGGTCATCAGCCTGAACCCATCAATTTGACACGTTCTGCTGAAAAAGCCATCACCATCTCCCATTAGATAATGAAACACATCAAGGCTGTTCTTTCAGAATTAAGGAACAGATTCTCATCTGTCAATCTGGACAAGAGACAGAATAATTTGGCTGCCATTTATATACTAAATTATTATAATGACAATAATGGTAAGATACAACAGCCGCATGATCTTTTGCGTAAGTAAATGGACTGTGCTCCATGTGTAAAGTAAATCATGCAGATTAAAAACATCTACAAAATAAAAATGCACTGGGCCCAATCCCCTTGCTATCCCAGATAGTAAATACTTTGTCGTTCATTTTGAGAAGAAAAAATCTAGTCTCTTTCAATTAAAATCATGGTCTGTTCAAGAGTTTTCAAGCTGTATAATACAGTAAGCATAAATGGCATATTACATTAATTAGATTTAATTTAATTAGATTAGGATTGCCACATAATTTTAATAGTTCAGATCTGATTTTGGTATACAGTGTCATCAAATTATTTTGTACCTTTCTAGAATAAATAAATAAAACATTTTTTTTCCCCAGTGTTTCAGGGAGTAATGGCATCATCCACATTTCTCCTTCATTTGTTAAATTGAATTGCACTTGATATTTGGAGAAAATCAGAGATGGAGAGATACACTAAAAGTCAGTTTGTCAAAAAATAGTTGTATGATATACCTTAATGATAAGAGGAGGAAAGGAGAAAGTGTTAATGACATTTGGGAAATTTAGTTGGAAAAAAAAAATCTTAAAACTGAACAGATACTCTATATTTTGAAGAAAATAAAAAAATCAACTAAAATATAAGAAAGAAAATAAAATGGTTAAAAGAGCTACATTATCTAAACAAACCATAGACTTTTTTTTAGTTATATCAAACTTTTCTATTTATTCCCGTAAGAGACCTTGAAAGAAAACTTCCTTTCTGTTTAACCAAAATATATATATCTGTACCTGTGTGTGTGTATGTATATATATATGCATATATAAATATATACACATACATAGTTTTATTTTTGCTTACTAGAAGCATTTTTTTCTCATTTGCTTGGGGTGCCTGAATATCAACCACTTATTCTGATGTCATTTAAGCACAGTATATCCACTAAGAGAATTTAAATGACAGTATCCCCTTAAGAAGGGGCAGATTTAAATTCACATTTTTCCTCCATAACAAAGTTGGCTCACACTCCAAATGTACATTTTGCTGGGGAAGATAAATTGATCTATTATTGCTACATTATAGAAGCAGTGACAAATGAGCTATGAATCAAACCAGAAGCTACAGTTCATGATTAGGCAGTCTTCCTGCATGTATGCTTCCTTCTTCCACCATCCCACTCCACATTGGAACAGAAAACTACTTTTTTTTTTTTTTTTTTTTTTTGTCAATAGAGAAGCTTTTGAAAGAAACACTAAATATCCAGAGAATCTGCCAAATAATTTCTGCCTGACTGTCCTCCACAGTCAACAACTTCAAGCTCTAGTCATTTTTGCTGACTCAAAATGAGAACAAAACAGCCATTTGCTCATGCACTGAGATCAAAGCAATGCAAATTGATTAGCCATTGATTAACAATTAACAATTGTTTAAAGCAAAGCAATTGATTTTTTTTGCAAATTTTTCAAATGATCACAGGTAATCAAAGTAGCTGAGGATGGATATGGTGAACAGCCATCTCAAAATCTGTAACAGATACTTAACCTCTAATTCTTGAGAAACAACTAATGAAAAGGCACACTTCACTGACTTAAACTTTACATGTTAGAAGCATATGCATAAAAATTTCAGCTGGAGCCTTTCAGTGGAAAGAGTTCTTGGAGGAGGTGATGTATTGACAATTCCTTCACTTGTGTAATTGGTTATATGATATAGTAAAACAATTCAACCTCTGAAGTGTTTGTAATTATTTACCAAGATGTGCTTTTAATGTGTACCTACATGGTCTACCAGCCTCAATCTTGACTCTGGGGACTTTTTATGATGTCATCAGAGGATAAGGGGATCTATGTATTTTTTAATGTTGATGAGCTTGATTTTATAACCTTAACGACTCCGTAGGATTAGGTTTTAGTTTACATTTGAAACACACCCTTTTCCTGGATGTGTTATGATTCAAAACAAACATTAGCCAAAATTAGTCCCCCTAACTAGGACAGACCAAGCAGTTTGTTTGGTATGTTAAGTATTTCCACCAAATATGTTTGGCAGTATTTTTGTGCTGATTTTCTCTGTGAAATGTAGGTGTTCCTGTTGTATGTCTGATTATCTGTCCTTACAGCCTTTAGAAGTTTTGACTCCATTATTCAGCTCCAATGGATTTTAAAGGAAGAGCAGGCAAAGAGAAACACTTTTGCCTCAATTTTCCTGGAAACTGCAGGATAGAGAAAAAAGGGAGACCAGATTAGTCCAGCAGTGAAGGAGAGGCAGTAAGAACTCCGTAATTTTAAGCTCAGTTTGCAGCAACTGGTTGTCCAGTCACCACATGTTTTCCAGTGGTTGTGCATGTAGGTAAATACGAGCTGCAGCAATGTCCTATCCCTTCCCCTGCAGAACTGCTGTGGAAGGGAGCCAGTGTATGTCAGTGGTGGGATTTAGGGACATAAATCCAAAAGCAAAAGTGTCTCAGTGGTTCTGCTGCTGGCGAAAAGCTTGTTTTAATGAACATGAACATGAGAGGAAAGGAATGTGACCATTAGTTTATTAAAGCTGCTAAATGTCTGTTTCTAGTTTTGAGATTAAAAGATTTGACCTTGTACTTAAATTACAGGTGATATGACCTAGAAATCACCTGGAAGCTGCTGAAAGCCTGCAGTCATGTACAAAGATATTATCCTGACAATTCAAAGGATTTAGTGCCCAGCTACTATCCTTAGAAAAGTATAATAATTTTCCCAACATGGGCAGGTTTCTTCCTTTATGTCTCATTCTCACCACCAATATTTTGTAGCTAAGCAGTTCTACAGGTGATAATTCTTGAAAACAGGAGATGGCTGTGCTCTGTTCCCCTGCTTATTTCATATGAATTGTATTCAGCTACATCCAGCTCCTACACCAATGCTTGCCTAAGGTGCTTGTCTACTAAGCATTGCAAGTGGAAATGTCAGGAAGTTTAGCATATGCTCTTTAGGGACACAGAGATCTTTCCTGGAACACTGATGAGGTTAATATTATTAGTAGAGATATCTGTAGTGGAAACAATCTTTGAAATGCTTTAAATATTGAACAAATTAAACAAAAGATAAGAATAAATAAGATACCTTAGAAACTTGCAAGGCAAGTATAGCTCAGGGTAACAACATTTCTCATATTCCAAGGATTCTGCAATGAACATGCAGATTTCTTTTGCCTATCTGCTGCAATAAAAAAGACAAAGCCTGCTTTGTTATTTGAAAAGCATTTATGTATTAGTCCAATCTGTCTGAATTGAGTCGAGCAATTTTAACAAAAATTCTTCAGCATCTATCATTCATCTGAGGAATTCTAGACAGATAGTGCAATAATTGTTGGGAGAAAAAAAAAATGAAAGAAAAAAGTCTCTCTTGTCCATTGTTTTTGGACAGTTGTCTGGCTTTATTTGGCAAATAGAATATTGAACACATTAACAGAGCTGAGCATTAAAACAAACAAACAAACAAACAAACACCAACAACCTGCATTGAAACCATATACTGAATATTTTTCAGTGAGGGACTTACACTGTTTTGAGATTCATTAGCAATTAATTAATAATGTTCCTCTCTCCTAATGAAGAATGAACAGTCAGTACTATGTAGGTGGAGAGATAATAACTAGCCTGATGAGACGTTTAGCCACTAGAAAAGAGCCTACATAATCTATGCTATATCTGAAGGTGCTGCAGGAAGGACACCCCTTCTTGCAGGGAAATCCATTCAGCTCCTGCAGAAGTGTGATGAATTCTGGGGGAGGGAGTGGGAACTTCCATTCTTATCAGCCAAGAAGCCAATTTACCCAACTTAAGCCAACTACTAGCATAGATTAGAGGCCTAGATTTCTGGAGATTATAATTAGGGAAAATAAATCCCAACCATTACTGTTAGCATTGCTCAGCCATCCCTTTCCTAACCTGTCCTGGGGGCTTAGCCTTTCTAAAAGGTAGTCAGAGCCTTTGACGTGCACTGATAAGCAGTGCTAGATCTCTCCAACAGGTGCTTAAATAGTGCCTTACATGTCTGCATTAGGCCTACTAATTGTAGTCATATTTTCAGAAGCAACCTTATCCTGATGGCTGGAGTCTGATGATCTTTACGGTCCATTCCAACCAGAGCCATTCCATGATCTTGCCAAAATTTGTTGCTAATATATTCCTACATAGAGAAGAACATTCTTTAGTTTATTCTCCTAGTAAGGAGCCATTTTTGTGTTACTGCTCACTTGAATGGCTCTCTGTAGACAAATGTTGACTTTCATACAACTTGGAGGACCATAATCATCTCTGAGGCTTCTGCTTCTCTTTCAAATCTGGTTGACACTGGTTAGTAGATCCAAAAGTTCTTGATGTGAAGTGACAGATGGATGAACAGATGATTAAGCAGACAGTTAGACAGCAGGAACATATAAGACTCATTTCATTAGGAAACTGGACTGAAAACAGAAATGGTAGTGGGTGGAAGTAATGGGATGATATTCACATTTTGGTCACCAATTTAAAAAATCGACTTTTTTTTTTTTTTTTTTTTTTTTTTAAAGAATGTCTTTAGTGGTTTGAACAACAAAGGAAAAGCCAAAGGGACAGTACTGATATATATATTTTTTTTCCAGCTCCTTTTTTTGGTCATAATGCCTCATTTTTATATAGTTTGGACTATATTTTAAACTTCTAAAGCCAGATTAAGCTTGGATAATTCTGGCAATTTCAGTGGAGGATTAATGTCTGTCATTAAGCAAAGAAATATGGTCTGGTACTTTTCAATAGCAACAAATGCTTGCTAAGGCACTTCTCTGATCAACATGTTTTTGGCTTACTGCAAAACCTTTGGGCTGTTCCTTTCCTAAATGTATGAAATACACATGCAGGAAAGCTGAGAGTGAATTGTTGTGATTTGAGCTGGCTGCTTACATTCCAGCTGAAAAGGGCATTCTCGCTCCTAACCCTTTTCCATTCAAGCTGATCCAACAGAAAACTGGCCCAATGGAAAAAGTAAAAAATATAAAAAGGTGGCAGGGGTTATTTATTTATTGGTAAAATGATCAAAGTCACTACCATGTGGTCTGACTATTGGTTGCTCTGTTAACAAGAAGGGGTGTGCTAGGTGCAGACAGAAAGGGCAAAAGGCAGAAGTGCTCTTTCAGGCAGGTGAGGAACATTACATATCTGCACTCAGAACAAACAGGTTTCCCCAAAAGCGAAGCACAAAGGTAAAAAAGAGCTGGATACAACAAGATAATTCCTTGCTAGATTGCTCTTAAAAGAACTGAAAACTCATTTTTTTCACAGCCAAGTGATTCCTTTGAAATATAGTGGCTGTAGAAGGCCTTGGCAAAAGTTGAGGGCATGGTATTGTCAGTGTAAGAATACATAGGAATGTACTAAGAAGTAAGGGACCTCTCAGCTGTAAAAATAGGGACCCTCAGGCAGAGCTCTGACCCTGCCCCTCCCTCCCTGCCTTCCTGGTGGAATGTTGCTTTGCCATAGCTTAATCAGCAGCAACCACACTCTGCAGCTGCACAGCAGCAGTCATTACGGTCCCATTTACACTTGTAGCGAAGCAGGGCATTGTTCGGTCCCATTTACACTTGTAGCGAAGCAGGGCATTGTTCCAACACACAGTGAAATACAAAGTGGTACATATGCAAGGTGGGATTCATAAAAACACTCTCTGTTAAGCTGCTTCTGCTCACTTTGAAGTTGGTGGCAGATCTCTCACACTTTCCAACTGCACTGTTGAGCCAGTGGTAAAAGCTTTTAAAAAATCAATTTTATCAATATTAGAAACATGGCTTAAACAAGGGTCCAGTGTTAAGATCACCAGATACAGCCTCTGCCCATCCTCTCTGTTTTATCAATCCCCAGATTTATTCACCAGTTGATTCTAACAGGCTGAAAATATCTGCCTTCTTGAACAATCATGAAAGAGCTTGATAACAAGCTTGATAACAAGCTCTTTCATAACATCCCCAAACTATTTATCATTGCCTCCAAAGAAGTGTGCTTTGGAATAGTATCAGAAGGTCAAGTTATCCCACTGAAACACCTATTAGTATAAAGAGGGGGAAAAAAAACCAAAACAACAACAACAAAAAAAAAAACCAGCACAGCCCTGGAAAGTATGAAGTCATAAGTAGAGTTCAGCCAGAGCAGGCTCCCATTAAACTTTGTTTAAGAGCCAAGTTCCACCCTAAGATATGTGTGAGCTGCAGTTTATTTCAGGGAGAGCTGCACTCTACTCCATGTCAGGGCAAGGCTTGGACACAAGTATGTATCTGTTATGAATCAGTGAAGAGAAGAGCCCATATCCCTTTTGCATTTTTTGGTTCCCTCTGCATAGATAGAACAGAAATTTAAAAGAAGTGGATATAACAGCCTCTATTATCACAGGACTTGTTGATTTTAATTCCCTCCTACCCAAGACCTAAATGACTATGTTCTAAATCCACTAAGTTACTCTCATGATACTTGGTAGCCTTTCCTTGTGCCACTCATGCTGTAAATGCTGTATAAATAAGGAACATACACAGCAGTCTGGCTGTAGCTCCTTAAAGCTTTCCACTGAACATTTTCACATGGCAGATAGGAAGGAGCTCTACTGAATGACAAGGGAAGAAGAAGTGGCAAAAACTCCCTGCCCTCATCCTCTTATGCTTGCAAACAGAGGCTAAGCATGATGGCATCCCTTGTGCTGTGCTGAGTTGCATGGATAGCTTCAGGCAATATACTTTTGCATTTCTGGGACTGGCTTCTGCTACACAATTGGATGTTAAAAGGGATGAGAGGATAAAGTCACATGCATTTCTGTGTGGCTCCTGGAGGCACTGTGGTTACCTGCAGGAGCCAGGTGGAGGGATGCCTTGCTCCCTGACACAAACTGTGCTTTCAGCAATGCTGAGTTCCCAAGGTTGAATTCCTTCAATTACAAGGTAAAAGAGCTCATTCAAGAAGAGGGAAGAGGAGGAGGTAAGGCCCAATCCTGCCAAACGCTGAGCAGGTGGTTAAAGTAATTCAAGTGAGAAACTCTGGTAAATGCAAAGAATTTTATAACACGACACCCCTTTAAACACTGAAATATTAACTCTTTCTCAAGAATTTCCTATTCTTCAGCCCCCCAGATGGTTGTCCTGTCTTTTTATTCTCCATTAGGTGTCTGATGCTGGCTGAAACAAGACCATCAGCGCACTGCTGTTACAGCAATTCCATGCAGAGCTCAGCAAGCATTTAAGTCCTGGTTAGGGGAGAAAGCTCAGTGCCATCAGGATCAAAACAATCTCGGTAATCACTTTCTTTTTTTTTCTTTTTTTCTGGATACCGTACCAGATGGGAAGAGGTGTCAGTATCCCCATCTCATCTCTGGGATGAATTGTTACCAAATCCCACTAACTAGAAGATGGTCTGGAAATATCCCAGAAAGAATGGGAAAGACAGAGATGTGTGTCCTGGGAGTCTGGAGAAATTATATGGCCCTCAGCCACATCTGTTTTGCCATGACTTTGCACCTACCAAGGGACTTTATTTTGCATTTCTTGCTACACCTCCCCCCACCCAGGATTATGTCCAGTATGGGAGAGAAGAAGTACAAATCCTTTTAGGGATATGGATGCATTTGCCCACAGATAGCAAGCTGCTACCTTAATATGCCACACAGTACTAGATGTTCCAGTTTCTCATCCAGTGAGGAAAATGCACCCCTCTCCTCAGGAAGAAATCACAGATGCAGTTTTTAATCACAAGACAATTACTCCCCCCCCCCCCAGTGACTGCTGCAATTTCATATCTGATAAAAATAGTCAGCCAGGCCTCCAAAGGGAATAGCTTGTTTTTCCCCTTCTGGTCACCTCCAGCAGCTGCTGGACTGTGAAAAGGCCTGGGGTGGGCTGCTCAGCATTTGAAAGGGAGGGAGATCTACCCACTGCTTGGGTACTTAGGTCATTTAAGAACAGAACAGTGGAAGCCAATGGTCCCCTCTGCTCTGCTGCTGGCCCCTGGAGAAAACAGGACACAGGATATGCTTCCTGCCTGGGGAAGGCTCGCAGTAGCTGGGAGAGAAGCCATGACCTTTTCCTTGAAGGAAGTATACGTCATGAAGGGGGGAAGAGTTGGCTGTTATAGGCTGCATCTTGTCTTAAAACTGCCATGTGGTTCTACCTCCGCTTGTTTTCTCCCCCAGTGTTTAAAGCTGATCTTTACTTATATAGGAATGACACTTAAAACAGTTTCATCCATCTCTGCCACCACATTGTTGCTCTAGTCAGTCATGAACCTTCTGACAAGAGTCAGATACAATTGAAATTAAAGGTTTCATTCATCCCATGTGAAGGCGATCAGCACAGGTAATCCAAGAGAAGGGCTTGGCTCATGCTCTATTTCTAGCTCAAATTTATGTCCCCAGGATGATGAAATTAAGCATCTCACACATAATGTGGGAGGAGGAAGAGTCTTTGTCTTATATTAACAAATTCCAGAAAGGGAAATCTTTTACCAAGAAGCAATAGCAAAGGTCAGAGAAATGCAAAAGCATTTATCTCCCCAGTCACATCCTGCTGGCCAAAAGTAGGAGGGGTGATTTACTCCTCTGTGGTACAAGGAGTCCCTTTTGGATCATTAATCCCCATGGAGAATGAACTCAGGAGCCATATACGTATTTTCTTAATTTGCAAGAAACTTGAATCGGCAGGAAGTATTCTTCTTTTGGAACATACACAATAGGTTTATTTCTGTTTGCTACTCCCTGTCTTCATGGCTGATTCTCACAACAGCTCTAGTTACCACTGATAAATCATTTAGCCTTCATTAAAATTTGTGGTGATAGTAGATGAGGCTGCTTGGAACTGAATTAAGACATTTGAAGCATAGTAATACTAAAAAGTGAATATCTTAAATCAGTAAATTCTCATCCAATCTTCAATGAAATCAATATGAGCAATCTCAAATTCCAGAGCACAATTATCTCAATGCCATTGACTTCAGCAAAGCAATGCTAACTTACAGTGAGTAGGGTGTTTCCTGAGAACATCTGTACAAACCTGAAGGAAGCGGAAATTGTCAAATATTTACTTACATGCCAGGACTTCAGGTGATGAAGCTTTGTGTTTGCAGCATGAGCTGATCAGAGAACATAAACCAAAAGTTATGGTAAGAGAGAGGACAGATCTGGTGGACACCTCTTGTTATGATTTTTATATTTCTTTATGGGTAATAAAAAGAAAAATAGTCTAATTTTACCTCATTTTGACTCTCTGAAACCACCTTAAATATTTCTACAATGATTCTGTTGCTAAGTGAGGAACATTAGAGACTGGTTATCTCTGTTCACAATACACAGACATTTAAAAATTGCCACTAGCCTGTAATGGATGGCATTTTATACTTTTTACCTTAGAAAAACTTACTTGCAAAAAAAGTAAGGTAGTAGACAACTACAGTGTTGTATTCCAGTCTCCCAAGCAACACTCCCTCTGTGCACAGATTTGCAAGTTCTGCATAAATTTGGTAAATCCATATCCTTATTGCTGTAAATAACTTACAAGATCACAAATGTGGCTGAAATAGAAAATCCAAAGCTAGCTGATGTCCTTGGATTTTATGCTCCCCTATGTGTGTGTGTGCATGCATCATCCCTTATTTTTGCTCTTTGTCACACAATGTGTCGCAAACTTAGGCTTTGACAAGTTGAAAAGTATGAAGATTAGAACAATCATGTTTACATGTGTTACCACCTGCTACTTCATTTCTTCCATGGTGTTTGAATGTTCAGGCACAAGGCTTTGAAACAATGCACCTTGAACGCACTTAAAAACTCTGCAGGATTTCCAGTTTGCTTTGATCTCCACAGTCTAGAGACTATCTCAGAGAATATAAATGAATATATTTAGTGGAAAATTATTTTCAAGGAGAAAATCCTAGAGTTCTTCCAGCTCGATATGCTTTGCAAGTTGATGTCATACCTAAGGTTGTTTTTGTGTTTTTTATCTTTAGGTTTCAGGAAGTCTCCTGACATCTCTGTCCAGAATGAGATACATGATGACGTAACTTGGGAAGATGGATGTATTTAGCTCTCCTCATCATGAGCACAAAAGTGGCAAACAATTTTATGGTGATTTTTGTTTAGAAAGGAAATGGAAGAAGAGGTGAATTCAGTCCTGAGGAATTTACAGACTAAACAAAGCAAAATAAAAAGAGATTATGTAGGGTAGCTATGCAGGAGAGAAGATTGTTTTTATCAAGAAGGAGTAGGAAGGATGTGAAAGGAAAGATGGTAAAAGCTTGTTGTTAATATGACTAGGAAAGAAACATTGATTGGAGAGCTAGAAACAAAGAAAGACTTGGCTAGCCCAGGCTATGAGCAAACTAGCGTCTTTCTGAGGGCTTTACAAATCTGTCCTTCCCATCTCTCACTACATGAAGTTACCATGTATGACTGCCTTTTGGAAATGACTTGGGCTTAAGCTTACTTCAAATTCTCCTAGATGGGCAAGTGAATTGTATGGGAGTGGTGTCTGAAGTCTGGATCCATCCAGCTCTAGGAAATGTGTTATAGAAGGTGATTTTCCTTTTTTTTAGGAATAATGCAAAGCCCGGACGCTAACCACTGCTTGAGTTCTAAACATGGAGGAGAACCCACCTCTCACTGGGAACTGGAAAAAGGCATCAAAGGCAATCAAGAAGTTTTCATGAGAATTTGTCCCTTTCAATTAGGTGGTCACAGCCTGCACAGGAAGAGTCAACAAAGCACCTTTTTTCTCCCTGACCTGCTATTCTTCTTGGCCATGCAGGTGTTAGCATAAGCCATTTTGCTACTCTTTAGAGAAGCCACTTGTTTCCATGACTGGCAAAGGAATGGGATGAGTAAGAGAAAAAGTGGCCAGGTACACAGAGCATAATGAGTTTTGAAAAAGTTTTTGAAACTTTTGAAAAGGTTTTGAAAAAGAACAAGAAAACCATGGGTTCTCCTTTTCACAAAGCAAAGGGGAAGCTGGAATGGAAGCATGGCTCTGAAGGCCGTTTTGTTCCCTGGTCTGCTCTGCTCAACGCCTCATGCAGGGTTTTCTGTAGAGATGCAGACTAATCCTGTGTATATCCCCCTGTTTCCACCAACAGCATAACTGACATTAGGAACTGGTTGTAAAGGCTTCTTAAATAAATAAATAAATAAATAAATTGATCCAAATGAGTTCAGGAAAGGGAAAATTGGATTTGTGTGCATCAGAGACTCAAAAAATCAAAATCCGCTGACGTAATTATGGAAATTCAAGGGAGACAGACAATAATAAACTCTCCCAATCGTGGGATCCAGGATGTAACCAACATATATCCCAGGTTTGAGATAAAAATGCCTATGTCATGACAGGAAAGATCTGGAGAGGGGGAGGTGTTGTTTCATAGCTATCTGTGAAGATGAGAGCAAAGAGAAACCAATGGAGAAGAGAGATGGAGAAGGAAGACAGGGCAACTCCCAAAGGAAACATGCTTCAGCCCACTGACAAGAGAAGATTTATGTCTTCCTTTCCTGTGTTATTCTTCCTTCCCACTGCCAGAAATGTCCTTGACAGAAGTGAGGAAATGGTGTTTAACAGCCGAGACCTCCATGACTGTCCTTTGCTGAGATATGAGCACTTACTAGTGAGCTGAGAAAGGGATAGGCATGAAGTACTAGGAGGTGCAGAGACTATCTGAACTAGATGATCTGAGAGGGCAGATGTAAGAGAAGGGTAATAATCAGAAAATAGTCCACTCTCTGAGAGCATCTTTGCATCAAGGTACTTCAAGAATTTAATTTTCTGCTCCCTGTGTTGAACAGAAGAGGGACTGTGTTCATGACACTTGAATGAACCATCATATAAGTAGAAGAACAACCTGTGCTAGCTCAAGAGATCTGAGGGCTTCCTTAAAGTTTCAAGAAATAACAATATCTACTGAAAATGTGATTTCATAATAAAATGGTAAATTTCTAGCCCTAATATATATGAAGAAAACATTTAAAATAAAATTCAACAATATACCCATGTAAATCTCAGAAGATAGAAATAAAATATAAAAATTTTAGTTACTTCAGAATTTTGGAAAAGTTGCATAAATTTCCTGAATTCTTGGATAACAACATTTTTAAGCTAACTTCACAATCCGCTACAAATATATTTTTTCTCTCTGCTCATGTACATGTAACCCTTTAATTACTCTGGTTACATGATTTCTGAACTATTTGCATTACCTAAGGATTATTTTGTTTAGCTAAAGCTGGTAATCAGCAGCTGCTTTTTCATCCCCTATTAAGTGACTGAAATTTTTGAAATATCCAAACAACAGATGAGAAAGACCTTGTTTACAGGTTAACAGGATTTTTTTATTTTTTATTTTTTTTTCAGAAAATAAGCTTATTCTTGTTGCATAGAGAGAAAGTTGTTTACGCAGAGGCATCAAGTTAATCTGCAGTAACAATTCTGTGAAGGCTATTCCAGTATAAATTTATTTTTCACAAGTTGAGGTTGCCACAGAATTACAGAATTCAACTGGTTTTTGATTCTGTTTCCAAAGGAGGGTAGCTATTCTGTAAAGAATTAGTTTTATTTCACCGTGAATATGCTAAAACTTTTTTTTTTTTTTTTCCCTAGAAAATTTTCCTAGAGATGCAACTAGGCAATTCTCCCAGCACAAAGAATCTTCCTTCTTATTTCTTAAATCATTATCTTTGATTATGGAGACATGGATCCTGTAATAGCATCCAAGATGGATTCAGGCACATGCTGTGCTGCTTTAAGTCCAAATACAGAATGATTCAGTTTCTTTACCCTTGTGAGCTGACTGGTTGTGGCCATATATACAGTCAGCAGAGAGGCAGCTGAATCTTGTGTCTGCAAGAGAATATGGATGCTTCACTGATGTTTTACTATATCATATGAAAAGGATATTTTGTAATATTTCCAACTTCTTATATATAGCCTAAACCTCTTTCTTGCTTTCTTTCTTGTTGTTGAGTTTATGCCTCTGCTAAGCCTTCAAAAATCTGGTCATTTTTCTGCTACTTCTGAAGGTATCTATCATATAAAAAAGGAAAGATGAGCTTGTGGGTGTTGGTCTGTGAACAGAGATGCAGCCAGGGAAATAAAACTCTCCATAACCAGAAGTCTGACTAGTGAAAAAGTGTATCAATACAGAAAAGAGGTGTCTATACATATCTGTGTCTCTATATAAGTATACATACAGATATAAACTATATAATATATACACATGCATGATGCATATTATGTGTACGTAAAGAATTCTAATCCACTTCACAGGTTTGCTGTTGCTAAAATAATGTCTCTTTCCAAATCTAAACACTACACATATGTAAAGACTTAATATTTGGTTCTGCTGTGCTATAACCTTGTCACATATGCTCTTTGTAACGTGGACCACCTCATCAAATTAGACATTTTAAACATGCAGTCCCCAGTAAAACAGGCATTTATCACTCACAATAACATGGAGCTGTCACAGGGTGTGTTCAAAGGCCCCCCTGCAACTTACTGATAAAAAGCTTAACTCCATTTCAGGGCTTATCTGAAGAAGAAAGAGGTAGACCCTCATGAAATAACTGGAATTTCTTTCTAAGATGAAAAAGAGAGGGAAAGGGAAGGGAAAAAAATCACTTTAAAACTTAAATGCAGCAGAACAAGTTTAACCCGTTGAGATTTTCAGTGAAGTTTTCTGCTTCATCAGGAAGAACCCTGTGGTGAAACATATGTCAGAAGAGAAACAGATATGAGAAACTGGTCTCCTTTGCAGATGAGAAGATTAATTAAGAGGAAAATCACTTAGCCAGATGTCTCATTGGTGAAACTACACGTGCAAGGTACATCTGCAATAAGGGAGCAACAGAGCACAGGCAGCACGTTGGATTTCTGTGCTGACATTGGAGAGAGAGGAATCTGGTGTGAATTAGATCATGATAACTCTTGGAGAAATTGAGGAGCATGGATCTTATTTCAGCTACAAATGATGAGCTGCACGCCTATTATTATGTTGCATGATTGTTACTTCATGTAGTTGAATTATGGGTTACAAATAAATTA